ATTGTTGTCGGATTCTCCATTTATTTAAAATGTAAAATACGTTAGTGGAGAAAGTTAAGAGAAAGGAGAGACACATACAAAAAATTTAATTGGCATAAATAAACTTGATACCTCTTTAACGGTTTTTGACCATGAAGATGAGGATGATATACATTTCAAAGTAAACATGTTGCTAAGATAAAGGATGGCAATTGAATAAAGAATTAATATTCGGCTAACTGCAAGGCATTCTGACCTATTAACCGATTTACCGAATCATAATACTCATTTGACGTACACTTATGACATCATATCAGCCGTCGATTTTAATCCAAATGACAGGTACACTATGCATGTAACAAAAAGACGATTTTTAAGTGTTATTGTTTGCATGTTTCTTTTCAATTTTTGAGTTAAATTACATCTTTAAATATTAATATCACGAAAATCTGTGTTCTAATAATTGACGTCATCTTGTCTACTTTGACGTCATAATTTGTTACTGATTTAGTCTTGTTAGAATATTCTGAATGCTTCCTTACCACCCCTACGTTACTTTTTCCTAAGTAACCCTATTCATGATATATACAAGAAAATGTGTTGCTTTCATCATCATATTGTGATAAATGCCTTTAATTCCAGTGCAAGTGCGATAACTCTTGTAGCCTTATTCCCGATGAAACAATTTCAATTTTCGTAAGACCATGAATGTTTTATTTACATTGAAAAAATCAAATCAAGCCCTCAGCGATACTGATTTAGAATATTCTAGAAAAAGAGCATGGAAGCAGCTGGACATGTTCGAAATATTTCACGCACCCACCCTTCCAGAAGTATAAGAACATTTACTGGCAAGTTTTTTATTTAATTAAGACCATAAACTGAGAATATACTTTAGTCAAAATTTCAAACTATTGTAACTTTGGAAATAATTTTGATATTTGACCAAACTTTTCACCATATTTTTAAATTGAAATATTATACAACATTGCAAATTTTTATGCACGTACGTTAAATAAAACTCAAGATATAAAATTTCAAAAAAATGACTTAAGTCTGTTCTCTGTTTATGCTCTTGGGGCCTGTTTTCTTTTCAGTAATGTTGGTGTTTATAGCAATGTTTATAAAGTATTTGTGTTGATGACAATGTGTAACACAGTTTGTGAAAATTATAGTTTGCAAATGCATAATTTTTCTTTAATTTTGGGGGATCAGGGTAAAGTTGGAATGGTAACAATCTGGGACGGGGGCGGCGGAGTTCGGGGATTACTACGAATGAAGATTTCTACCATGTCTGTCTCAAAAATATGGGTAATATATCCTAAGTACTGGGGATGATTTGGGGGTTACCTCAGCGGCACCTGAGGGACCGACTTGACCCTTGTGGGACCAAGGGCAGGCTTTGGGGGATCAACCCCTGGGGGTGTTATACCCAGGTTGTTTTGTACCAGAGGAGACAATATAGAATGAGGACATGGTTCAGAACTTCAAGTCCCTGTTCATATGTGGCAGTCACTCCTCGGGTTCCAAGAGAACTGTTCCCACCACAGTTATTTTCCAAGTGGGGCGCTATCGCGCCAGGTTAATAGAGAGGGCATCCCGGTAGGCAGGTAGCGATTCCCTGGATACCCCCGGTTTTTTCATATATAATGTAAAAATGACAAACGCGTGCCACGAAATGTTACATGTTATGCTGTTTTATTATCAATAAATTGAGTTAATTTGATATGTTTTTAATAGTTTGTGTCTGGAATTATTTAAGTCTAAATGTTAATCATTTTCATTCATATTTCATTCATGTTCATGTTGCACTGTCATCATATTTTCAAACTAGGTTTGAAATGCAAAATACTTAATTCGATAGAGAGATATATAATATAAAACTGCCAAAAACATACCAATTCGCAGTTCTCAACAAGGCTTTACATGTAATTATTATCATTTTTAATAGCAATACTGGTCATTCAGGGTATAATGACAAGGTCTGTTATACAATAATTAAAACATCAAACACATCAATTACCCCCCCCCCCCCATCTCAATCAAGAGAACCATAAGTACATCACAGTCAGCTTGGATATGTAAAAACGCCGAACAAACCAACCATTATGCAAAGAGTTCTTTTTCAAAAATGAATTTTAACCAAATCAGATTGAAATTTTTACATTTATTTCATTTTTTCCGACTACAGATTTTTTAAAACTGATTGCCATCGTTCCGAAGGAATAACAGGTTTACCGGTTACAAATCACCATCACTAATTAATATGTCATCAAAATAGTAAAGAGACACAAGCAATCCTGATATGCTAGTATTGAATACACAACACTCAGTGATATCTTTTCGATATTTTTACTCTGGTATAATTGATTCAGTTTTTATTGAATGCAGCGCTAGCTGTACTGCAAACAAAGATGCATAAATTATTTCGTCGCAAAGCAACACTAAATGTGCGATCTTCTCTAATACATGTAAGAGGAAAGAAATTGGCACACAGACTCTGAAATTACTTAAGTTAATTATAATCTTTTAAGCCTATGGACACACCTACCCCACTCCCTCCACCGCCTTCTTAAAAAATCACTTCTACAGAAACAGGGACTTAGACGGGATAAAACAGTAGGGTTTTCGTTCTAATTTATCGGATTTAAAGTCAACAAAATATGCATGTAAAATACATGACTAAAAACAGCATAATTTGTTCCTCACTGTCAGGGATGGGGTAATTGAATAAAGTAATTGTAATTGAGTGTAATTAATTACATTTTTCAAAGTAATTGGAAGTAATTTGTATTTGAGAGAGCCTTCAATTACAAGTAATTGAATGTATTTAAATACATTTCAAAAAAGGTCAGGTATTTTCAATTACTTTTCAATTACATTTCAATTACTTTTTTTTTTTCAAAATGAAAGTTTATATTTAAAAAGGTGTCTTATACTGATACATAGTTTTATACTGGTGGATTTATTACTTTTTCCCATGTTTTATAAATCTCAGTTCTCCCTATTCTCACTTGCAAATAACAATGATTGTTTAGATAGTTAATTTGTTTTACAGCAATTAGACTAACTACATCCCCTTTTAGATTTACCTGTATTCTATTCATTTTAAGATAGAAAATAATGAATGGAATTGTGATAGATATTATTTATTTCCTTCAAAAATATGGATTTGAGAAGGTAACAAAAAAGATTTTGCCATACACCTTACTGGTGTAGCATGGGCTTGTGTTTGTACAATAATTAATTGTCTCATAATGTTTAATTTGTTTATACAGTGTGTCACACTCATTATAAGGTAAAGGTCTAATTTTGACCAGGTGTGAACCCCTATCATACCCAAGAACAAAAACACTGAATGAAAATTTGAATTCGATCGCTATAAAAAACATCTTATTTAAAAAAAATCTATTTTTTTTTAATAAAAATAAAACTCGAAGTAATTGAAATGTATTTAATTACATTTGTCAAAGTAATTGAAAGTAATTAATTACATTTGAAAAAATCAATGTAATTGTAATTGCAAGTAATTGACAAAATTATCAATGTATTTGAAAGTAATTAATTACATTTCAAAGTAATTGACCCCAAGCCTGCTCACTGTGAATATGAACTATTGCATTTTACTGGCAATTCATTCAAAACTATCTTCCTACAGCGACTGTAACCTGCTGTATAGAATGCGGTTTGCACATAAATATCCCTGTTTCTCAATCACAACCATTGGTTTTTAAATAAATTTTTCATACTTCTGTCAACCACAATATTCGACAAATCATTTGCTGAACGTACAACATCGTATAAGGGATAAAAGATTATACAAATTGTTCGGAAGACCTTGACGTTATCATTTGTCTCAATGATAAATCGTTTTTTGCTGACAAGGTTATTGTATCGATCATGAAACTTATAAAATGATGACTTTACACGGCACTGCTGATATTATTGTCTCAGCAACTTGTTTGTCAATGATTTACCTCGTTACTTTTTTCTATAATACTATGAAATTATACTTTAATTTATGCTATAAAGTTTTGCATGATTGATTGGGTTGTCTAAATCCAAACTGTTTTTCATTTTTAAGAAAAATAATGCTCAAAGTATTTCTGCAGACAATGGTGAACATATCTTTCTAATATATTGCTTATGATAAGGAAGATTGAAATTGGGCGTTAATTGCTTATCAATTTTTTTTCGATCGGTATAAGCCTAATGCATGGCATTTTTAAGAAAATAAAAGTTAACAGAGCTTAGTAATCCCCCAAATACCCTAGATCTCCGTTATTATGAGATATTTTCTTTTTTATTATGTGAGAACTCATGAAAATAGTGAAATTTGTAAATGAATATTGTCCGTTATCCCCATATTCCATTATATTATAGTACACATTTTAAATCAATTGTTAATTGTTATCAATCTACTAATAGGCATTTCCAGCTTAGAGCGCCACTCGTATTTCGATATACACGGGGCCGTATAAACCTTTTTTTTAAAAGGGTTTTAGAGCTATATACGTAGTATGGCATATCTGAACTAAAAAGTAAAACACGAGATTAAACAAAGATTAAGATAATATTTGCTATCTAATTCAAAATAAAATTACTGATTTTGAACCAAAATATCATCCCCATATTTCTATACATGTAGGTTAAATTGACTTTAAACTGATGATATTTTTATCCCGAGTCGGAAATAAATCGATAATTGTTTTAAATCTCGCCTTTCTTTGAACGCGATTGATTTAAATTGTATTATTCACAGGAAAGTCCTATCTTGATATAAAGTAACAAAACAAATTAAAGAAAGAGATCATTTTTATTTTAGTTAGTCTGAACTTATGACAAATACACCATATTATGAATTTAAATCCTGCACACTACGACTTTAAATGCTACATACTATGTTGCTTTATCTAGGAAACAGTGTTTTTTTTTTGTAAATAAATCAAATTTTGACACGACCCCTAAAATTTTTTAATTAACTGTCAGAGTCAGTGCACGAGTACTGTCTCGAGATCGCAAAATCTGGAAATGTCTAATAGGAATTTCCCATTATACATTTTATAGATTTTGTCGCAAAAGTGCACAAGATCAAGGTTGTGACAACTTCCGTTTTTTTAAAAACCGGGAAATTAATTATGGGATTATCATTGCTATAATATATTTCGAATGAAAATGGAGTTTTATAACTACTTTCGAGTATTTCTGTTACTGACTTTTATCCTTATAAAAGCAAGGGAAAGCTGTATAATTAAAACTGGGTAAATATAAGTAATCAAATATATTCTTACAGGATTTTGCTTTTTCTTTGTATCATATGTAATATATAGAATGCAAGTAAAATTGAATTGAAAAAGCCAAATGTTCATTTTTATTACTTTTAAATTAAATTTGCCTATGTAAACTTTTTTAAATTAATGTTCATTATATTCATGTAACGTTTGGCTTTAAACCTTAATTTTTTGAATTATTTTTTTAGACCTTATAAAGACAAATGCTGTGAACATTTTATGCTAAATACAACTACCAATGAATGCATTCGTAAGTAAAACCAATGTTATTTTTTGTTTCTATTTATTCAAATGAGATTAAGTACATTTGTTTTGCAAATTTATACTAAATTGTGTTATTTATTCTATGTACAGCCTGCCCTGTCGGATACACAGGACACAACTGCTCCTCACCATGTCCGTCACCTTCATATGGATTCCAATGTGAAAAAATATGTTTCTGTCCGGCTTATTTATGTCATTTTATAACAGGCTGTCCTGTCTCCAATGGTAAGTCAAAATTTGTAAAAATAAACTTAAGGTTACTTTGAAATTAGTATCTCTAGATTCGTTTATTAGAGAAAAAGATAAATTATATTCTCTCAACAAGTATTATACAGCGGACATGTAATTATAATCATTCTACACAAAGCGTTATCTGATTACAGGGAATTCATTATAAAACCTCAAAATTTCCTGCCATTGGCGTGCATTTCAACACATGCAACCTCTTCAGATACTTCGTGCATTTTCCCGCAATAGTAATAGTTTGTCGTAAAAAACCTTTCGAGAGAAGAAGACGTCAAAATAACTTTCTCACAGGTTCAACATGACTAACCATCTACAATACGGCTGAAAAATTTTATTTTTTGTTTTCATTTGCCCCTTTGCCCTACACGTTGAGTTAATTATCATTGACCTGATTACATTATGTACATATAAAATACTTTTTATATTAACGTAATCACTGGCGCCTTTCTTAAAATACAATTTAATACCATTTTAACATGTTTAAGTCTTAAATATTTTTATGCTTACAGATTTAAGTAAAGGGTATGCAAAAATGTAACTTGTTACAAATTGTTTTTAATATGTAGAGGTTTCTGGTGACGGAGTGAGGATTTCGTTCAACAAAACTTAAACTGGCGTTATACACGCTTTATTTACACTTGTAATATACATGTAACCCTTTTTTTCTAAATATAACTTTACCTATGTTCAAGTTTATAACCATACACACCAAAACATTTCGAAGTTTTGCAGAAGATGTTGGTGGAGATACAGATAGAAGCAATTCAAATTGCATATTAATATAACTGCGTTATTTGGTTTAGTAAGAATTTGGTAAGTTTTCAAAATTAAACATTTAAAATTTCATCTTCTGCCGATCATTTAACCGTTGTATTTTCTTCAACATTGTGCTGCTATTTAGTGGAAAGTTTGATAAAAGATTTTTTTGTAAATGCATTATGTTCTTTTAGATAATTATTGATTTTTTCCTTCACTTTTTTAGATCTAAATAGTCGGTACAGCGCTTAAGGTTTTTAAATGGTATCACACAATATTAAAGTTTCTATACAAGGGAAAAATTCTCAAAAGAAAGAATAACAAAATAATCAATCTAAATGCATTTATTGACATCTATGGCCTCAGGCAGACGGGTTGGTCCGAGGGTCGACAATTCGCTTTTTACCCAAGAACATAGTCAATAAATGTTTGGTTATACCTTTCATTTTAAATTGTACTGTCTTCCGTGATGTAATCTCAAGTTCGTCACTTTTAAACACAAACGAATGAAAATGAGATTAAGCTTTACCCATCGATTTTGTCATGCCCGATCAGCAAAACATTAGAACATTAGACTTTTTTAATTAGATTTGCATATGAACAAAATTTTTTAAAGGTATGACAATATTTATCTTTATAAGTTTATTAAAAGTACGAAAACTGTTACTTAAAATATATAAATATACTGACAATATAAGACAACTTATAATTTACAAAAATTTACTATTTGTATTAATCATATAGTGCGCAACATGTTACTGTGAAATCACAAATTTTCGTGGGGTTTAATTTTCGTGGTTTTCGTGGTGTGAAGAGACCCACGAATTCATGTCCACCACGAAATGTAAAATGTGACATACATTACTACTTAACAATTCTACATCCACGAAATCAAATCCCTACGAACCAAACAATTTTCCTCAAACCACGAAAATTTGACACCACGAAAATATGTGATTTTACAGTACATGCAGTCTTGAGATCATGATATACCTCTTTGCTGTAAGTCCCTGAGGACATTTGCTGTGAAGGAAGGTAAATGAGGGTATTATTTTCTTTAAACTGATTTCAATGTCTTGTAAAACGATATCCAATACATTTAGTGTATATACGTATCTCACTCTAAAAAATATGACCATGGATAATTGCACTTCATGTATTTTTTTTTTTAGGAAATAATAGAATATATTACACGCATTTAGGAAATAATAGAATATATTACACACATTTGGTAATTGTTGATAAATTTAAGGAACGTCGAGATTTACATACATATGTATAAGTAATAAGTGGATTTTTATCAATGGATTTACATGTACATGTTATGTACTGAATAAAGGGACATTTTGGCTTCCCTTTTTTTTCCACCTTTCGCCCTACTCTCAGCTGGCGATTTTATACGGGACAAATTCAATGGTACATTTCTTTTAAAGAAATGTGACTGTGCATAATGAAAACTGGACAAAAATTTTGGTAAGATGAAAAGCGAAGATAGCCATACATATGCATACATATACAAAGATATATACAGTATTTAGCTTGCCATATATTCTCGTGTACTTCCTTGTCATCACAGAGGCTACAAACTAATTTTGTGTGCTTATGGTTCTTGATTTTACCACTTTAATAATTTCTAGATAAAGCTCTCTCTAGTATCATAACATATTTAATGTCATATTATTTTGTAATTAATTGCTTTAGTTTTTTTTATAAATAACACGGAAATTGATAGTCATTAGAGTCATCGATGATATATCCGTGCTATATTTCTCAGACCTGAAATGTACAGTAATTTGGCAACTAGTCAATTAATATCTTCATAAAATTAAGAAAATATATTAAATCATTCATTTACTCCATAGTAAGAGCAGTTTTACTTGCATTGAACGAACAGCACATAATAACGGGAGGCACTGTATACACTGAGCTCACTTAATGATTGACCCCGCTTCACATATGATAAAATGGCAGAGTCAATGTTATTCTCTGGAAAACCCGAAATGATAGGAGTCAAAACAAAAAGGAAAATATGAGATGCACAATGGCATTTATCAATAAAGAATCTGTGAAAGTATCATTAGGAGTCTATCATTGGTACAAGAGGAGTGTCGGATCAGAGATCTGTGCCCCAGTGTATAATAGACATACGGACATACAGATGGACGAAAGGCGGAGGACTGATAGGCGGAGGACTGCATTTATATATTAATATATAACCTTTCTCTTTTCAAGCAGGGGGTATAAAAAGGCTCCAGACTGGGTATATCCATCTTTTTATTTATCGTTTAACTTAAAATACTCTCTTGAATCCAGAATTGTATATATTGTCATCAGCAGACAAAATAATGATAAACAAGATGTGTTTGTGAAACACTATGCGCCCGGCGGCAACAAAAATCGAAAAAGCTATTTTTACCATACAAGCAAAGGTAACAGTCAAGATCACAAGGTCATTGACCTTGGTGTCATTTGAAAGAACTTGATGAGTGAATTATGCACACCAAATATGAAGTCTCTATCTTTTATGGTTCAATGGTTATGGTGAAAGGTACGAAAAAGCTATTTTTAGCATATAGTTCACAGTCAAGGTCACCAGGTAATTGAACTTGGTGTCATTTGAAAGAATTTTATTAGTGTAGTATGCATACTAAATATGAAGTCTCTATCTTTCATGGTTCAAAAGTTATGGCGAAGGCTAAAGTTTGCAGACAGAAAGCTATTTTTAGCATATAGGTCACATTAAAGGTCACAAGGTCATTAATATTGGTGTCATTTGAAATCACCTAATTATTGAAGTATTCATACCAAATATGAAGTTTCTACCTTTCATGTTTCAAAAGTTATGGCGAAGGTTAAAGTTTGGAGACAATCAAGCAAACAAACAAACAAACAAACATACAAACAAACAAACAGACAGACAGACAGACAGACAGGACAAAAACAATATACGCCTCGGATCTATCGATCCGGGCGCATAAAAATACCTTCATTATTGCATGATCTTTGCCTATAGCTTATACATCTGCTTCATCACATGCGCCATGTTTGGTTTAAAACTGTTCTTTACAACATTTCATATACTTATAAGATATTCATGTCTTACGATTGACGAAGTTTCTAAAGTTTGACACCACTCGTGAATACAATGGATTTTCTGTTCATTGTACACATAATACAAAACGTTTTGGTTGTATGTCTTTAAAATCTAAAATATGTTACCATGACCTGCAGGCATGCATAATTATGAAGCTATCGTAGTACTAATGTATATCATAAGACAAAAACGTTTCTTAATCGTTACTGAAGCTATCAAAGCTATTCTGCTACAATAATGACTTTATTCAGACAACACTCAGCAGAAAGATAACCATATAAGGATATAGTAAAAAGGCTGCAATAACAAAAATAAAATAAAATTAATGTCATCTATGGCTTTCCGTAGAAAAACTTTCACAAACAGGTGTTCTTAATAGTAAAGCAAGCAGATTAACAATTTACACAATAATAAAATTTCCTAAATTGTATGAATAGTTAAGCGTATTACTTTAAAAAGATTAAACTATGTATTTACTCAAAAATATAGATGACAATACACGATTCAAAAAACTGATGTACATAATGGCGCACCATACTCCGAGCACGTGGAATTCAAAGATTTACAAATTTAAGAAAATGAAAAAGTTAGCATCTTTTAACACACAAGTTATACTTAATGATAATCGTTTTGTTAGAAGCTTTATTTCATTGCTATTTAAATATTTCATCATTTGGTAACTGTATACTGTTTAAACCCCACGTGTAATGGTAGTGTCACTCGAAATATTTATTTTAAAAATATATAAATGATACATGTACTTCTTTGTATCTTCTCAGTGAATGAGAAAGATCATGAAAAACGAGAAAGAAAGAGTTAGTTTTAATAATAATAATAACGGGACAGCTTCCTGTTTTTTTTCTCGTTTTTCCACTTTTTTGTCAATGGCGACGACCAGCAGTGGACGTTTTTATGATCCAGTAATGCACCGATTTAGCTAGACAACAGCAACAAAAGTTTTAATTTGATGCAACTGGTACTTCTACTGACAACATTATCAATTTAATCTGTAAATTTAATACTAAAATCTGTGAATCTTTTACTTTAATGTTGTAAAATTTACTCTTTTTTCTGTACAATTAAAAATTTTATCTGAAAATTTTGTTGAATTGTAGTAATTGGTAATTATCAAAGATTCCAAAGATAACCAAAGGGCAAATAAACGAAAATGTTTACCAGATAGTAATAGTAGGCGTAATATGATAAAAGAATTGACTGTCATCAGATTCATGATATATCTTCTCAAGCTTTGCTGTCAATGGAAAACGTATTAAGAGTAATGTGGATCTCGCTCTTGCTTACACAATTGTTGGATCTATTTCAAAATTATCAAATCAGAGTCTATAAATAAGCAATTCATTTTGTATAGCATGTGATTCTTTTCTTTTAAAAAAAATAGACAACCACTTTCAGTAAAAAAATTGGTTAAATTTGGTGTGAAATTAATATAATACATACAATTATTTAATGTATACGTTTTTTTCTTATTTTATTATATTTTTTATATGGTGATTTTGTTATATATTC